TCACTGCAGGAACAGAAACCCTAACCAAGACACCACATTTATCTATCATGAAGCATCAATGCTGTTTCTTTGGGTGGTTCCCCATAGCCTAAAAGAGACCATGAACACATTTTACTTTTCTTCCTTTTTTTTTTTTTTTTCAGTTTTTTGAGACAGGGTTTCTTGGTGTATCCCTGACTGTCCTTGAACTAGCTCTGTAAATGAGGCTGGCTTTGAATTCACAGAGATAAAACTGCCACTGTCCAGCTCCCTCCCCACCCCCTTGCTGGTATTAAAGGTGTGTACCACCACTGCTTGGCAATACCTTTTCAGGTATGTGATCTCATTCTTTATGCTTAACTTTGCTTTCACATATATGTTTATATCTTGCTTTCACTTACATCTTGTGTTCTGGTTGCACTGAACATTACTTTGATGTACCTTGTACCAAAAAGAATTCTATACTCACATTCCAGCAGAATGAAATGGTCTTTCTCTGTCCTCCACATCTTACCTCTCCCACACATGATATAACTCTTCAAAACTTAGACAAGAAAATACAGAGAAGTTTTTCTACCCCCAAACAAAATAACTCCCTACCTCTGCTATACTTCTGTATCACTTTGGACAGCACTTCATTAAACCACCTATTTCCCTAAACTATCAGGATGTCAATCTCTCTCTCTCTCTCTCTCTCTCTCTCTCTCTCTCTCTCTTTCTTTCTGTTGTGTGGAAGCCCGTGGAATGGTGGGACTCAGGTAGGAAGGTACATTGTCTCCCCCCCATTTAGAGCATGGACCCATGGCAGGGCTCTTCCAGCCTGCTGCCTAAACCAAGGAAGGCAGGCATCTCTCTCAATCTTCCTCTGTCCCTCCCCCCCCTCTCTCTTTCTGTCTTTCATTTTATGAGATAGCCTCATTATGTAGACCTCTGTGGCCTAGAACTTGCTATATAGACCAGGGTGGCCTTGAACTCTTAGAAATCTGCCTGTCCCCGCCTCTAGAACTCAGGAAATAAAGGTGTGCATTGCCATGCCTGGACTTTTAGGATTATTTTATATGTCTAATATCATAGTTAGAATATATGTCTCTTCCTAAAATTCAATGAAAACGAAGGAACAACTTACCCAAAATTATGGGACACAATGAAAGCAGTGCTAAGAGGAAAGTTCATAGCACTAAGTGCCTTCTGAAAGAAGTTTGAGATATCTCATACAAGCAATGTAACAGCACACCTGAAAGTCCTAGAAAAAAAAAAAAGTAGATACACCCAAGAGGAAGAGAAGGTTGGAAATCATCAAACTTAGGGCTGAAACCAATAAATTAGAAACAAATAAAACAATTCAAAGAATCAATGAAATCAAGAGCCGGTTCTTTGAGAAAATCAACAAGATAGACAATCTCTTAACCAAATTAACTAAAAGGCAGAGAGACACTATCCAAATCAGTAAAATCAGAAAGGAAAAGGGAGACATAACTACAAACACTGCGGAAATTCAAAGAATCATTAGATCTTACTTCAAAAGCCTACACACCACAAAATTTGATAATCTAAATAAAATGGAGAATTTTCTTGATAGATTCCATTTACCAAAGCTAAACCAAGACCAGGTAAATAGATTAAACAGTCCTATATCCCCCAAGGAAATAGAAACAGTCCTCAGAACTCTCCATGTCAAAAAAAAAAAAAAAAAAAAAAACCCATGGTCTGATGGTTACATCACAGAATTCTACCAGACCTTCAAAGAAGAGCTGATGCTAAATCTCTTCAAACGATTCCACAATATAGAGACAGAAGGAACATTGTCAAACTCACTCTATGAGGCCACAGTCACCTTGATATCTAAACCACACAAAGACCCAAAAAATAGGGAAAATATCAGATGTATCTCTCTTATAAACACTGATGCAAAATTACTCAATAAAATACTGGCAAAATGAATCCAAGAACACATAAAAGATATAATACACCATGACCAGTATGTTTTATCCCAGGCATGCAAGGGTGGTTCAATATATGAAAATCTGTCAATGTAATCCACCATATCAACAAACTGATGGAAAAACAGAACAAACCAAAACACACACACACACACACACACACACACACACTCACTCATCTCCTTAAATGTTAGAAAAGCATTTGACAAAATCCAACACCCATTCATGCTTAGTTTTGGAGAGATCAGGAACACAAGGCATATACCTAAATATAGTAAAGACAATATACAGCAAGCTTATAGATAGCATCAAACTAAATGGAGAGAAACTTAAATCAATCCCACTGAAATCAGGGACAAGGCAAGGTTGCCTATACTCTCCGTATCTCTTAAAAATAGGACTTGAAGACCTAGTTAGAGTAGGAGATCAAGGGAATACACAATGGAAAGGAAGAAGTCAAAATATTACTATTTGCAGATGATATGATAGTGATGATGATATGATGATAGTGCAGATGATATGACATGAATGACCCCAAAAATTCTACCAGGGAATTCCTGCCTCTGATAAATGCCTTCAGCAAAGTGGCTGGATAAAAACTAACCCCCAAAAAAATCAGTAGCCCTGCTGTATTCAAAAGAGAAAAAGGGCGATAAAGAAATTAGAGAAACAATACCCTTTACAATAGCCACAAATACCTTGGTGTGACTCTAACCAAGCATGTGAAAGACCTGTTTGAAAAAAGCTTCATGTTTCTGAAGAATGAAATTGAAGAAGATATCAGAAGGTGGAAAGATCTCCCATGCTCATGGATCAGTAGGATTAACATAGTGAAAATGGCCATCCTGCCAAAAGCAATCTACAAATTCAGTGCAATTCCCATTAAAATACCAATGCAATTTCTTACAGAACTTGAAAGAACAATTCTCAGTTTCATACAAAAAAAAAATCCCCAGAATTGGTAAAACAACCCTGTACAATAACAGATCTTCTAGAGTTATCTCCATCCCTGATCTCAAACTGTACTATAGAGCAACAGTAATAAAAACTGCATGGTAATAGCATAGAAACAGAATGATGGGTCAGTGGAATAGAGTAGAAGCCCCAGAGAGAAACCCACACACCTACAGATAACTGATTTTTGACAAAGAAGCCAAAACCATACAATGGAAAAAAAAAAAAAGATAGCATCTTCAACAAATAGTGCTGGTCTAACTGGATGTCTACATGTAGAAAAATGCAAATAGATTCATTATTTCTCACCCTGCACAAAACCAAAGTATAAGTGGATCAAAGACCTCAACATAAAACCAGACACACTAAACCTGTTAGAAGAAAAAGTGGAGATCTTTGAACTCATTGGCACAAGAGTCAACTCCCTGAACAGAATACCAAAGCATAGGCTCTAAGATCAACAATGGGACCTCATGAAACTGAAAAGCTTATGTAAAGCAAAGGAAACTGTTGTCAGAATAAAATGATAGCCTACAGATTGAGAAAGGATTTTCATCAACTCTATAGCTGCCAGGGAACTAATATCTGGAATATAAAAGGAACTTAAGAACTTAAACACCAAAGAAGACAAGTAATCCAATTAAAATGGGGTACAGAGCTAAACAGAGAATTTTCAATAGAGTTATACTGTAGGGCAGAGAAACACTTATAGAATTGTTTAACTAATGTCCTTAGTCATCTGGGAGATGCAAATCCAAACTACCCTGGGATTTCACCTTATATCCATCAGAATGGCTAAGATTAAAATCTCAAGTGAAAACACCTGCTGGAGAGGATGTGGAGAAAGGGGAATCCTCCTCTCTTGCAGGTGGGAATGTAAACTTTCACAACCACTTTGGAAATCACCCTGGCACTTTCTCAGAGAATTAGGGATAATAGTACCTCAAGATCCAGCTATGCCATTCTTAGGCATATATTCAAAATATGCTCAACTATATATCAAGGACATTTTCTCAACCATGTTCACAGCAGTTCTATTCGAAATAGCCAGAAGCTGGAGACCACCTACTTATACCTCAATGGAGAAATAGATACAGAAATTGTAGTACATTTACACAATGGAATACTACTCAGCTATTAAAAACAAGGAAATCATGCAATTTGTAGGCAAATGGTGGGAACTAGGAAAGATTACCTTGAGTGAGGTAACCCAGAAGCAGAAAGATATACAGAAAGATACATGGCATATACCCACTCATAGGTGGATATTAGCCATATAATATAGGAGAAATATACGAAATTCTATACTCCTGAAGAAGCTAAACAACAAGGAAGACCCTAGGGAAAATGATAAATCCTCATTCAGAAGGACAAACACCATAGACATTGGAAGCAGGAGAAGATAGGGAACAGGACAGGAACCTACCACAGTCAGCTTCTGAAAGACTCTACTGATCGAAGTATTGAATTAGAGGCTGAGACTCATAGCCAAACTTTGAGTAGAATGCATGTAAGTCTTATGAAAGAAGGGGGAGATAGAAAGACCTGGAGGGGACAGGAGCTCCAAAAGGAGACCAACAGAGCCATAAAAACAAGAGCCCTGGAGATCCTGAAGAAAATGATACCCCAACCAAGGATAATGCATGGTGAAGGATGTAAAACCCTGACTCAGATATAGCCCATAGACTCAGTCTTTAAGTGGAGTCCCTGGTAAGGAGAACAAGACTCTCTCTGGCATGAACTCAGTGGCAGCCTCTCTGATCACTGCCTCCTTGGGGGAGCAGCCTTGCCAGGCCACAGAGGAAGACAATGAAGCCACTTCTGATGAGACCTGATAGGCTGGGGTCAGAGGGAAGGGGAGGAGGTCCTTCTCTATCAGTGGACTGGGGAGGGGCATATGGGAAGGAGATTGGGAGGAGACAGAGCCGGAATACAAATTTAATAAATTGTAATAAATGATAATAATAAAAATATTTTTAAAAATGTCTCAAAAGTAAAGCATCAATTATATTGCCATACATTTGGAAGTTAGCATATGATGTGGTTCATATTTGGTGAATGCTGAAAAGACAACAGAAGAATTTAACAGGTCACATGTTCCCGAACCCTATACACAGTCATTCTTACCTATTCAGTGCAAATGCATAGTGGAATTTAATGTTGTGCTGATCAGCCAAATCACACGTAGGCAGCATCTTCAGTGTTTCTACCAGCTTGACCATTGCATCATAGTCCTGTTGGCAAAAGGTCTCAGAGAGTGAGAGAGACAGGAAACAGCTCTTCAGAGATTTTTCCAAATAGTTATAAACCTACAACAGCCTCCAAATTTAATGATAAACCTTTTTTGCAAATATTTATTGAAGTTAATTGCAGTCTTGACAAGTACAGAGAAAAATATATCAGAAAAGATAAATGAGACAGAGAGGAATTCCTGCTACCAAAGGGCACAAAAAGTTCAACAGAAAAATTGTTACAAAAACAAGGGGGCAAGTGAGCCTAGGGACAGGAAAAAGATGTGTTGAGTGTGAGAGGGTTAACACCAGCAGCAGAACTGTGGTAAAATGAGTTAAGAGAAGTACAAGAAAATGTAGTCACTTCCCCATGAAAAAGGAGAAAATATTTGAAGCCTGCATACTTTGCCTAAATCCATCAAATTACTCTAAGTTAGAATTTCTCAGCTGCAGCATTGGTGATATTCTGGGCCTAAACGTCTGCTCTGCTCTGCTGTCCTATAGATTGTTGGATGGGCAGCTGCATCCCCCCTAGAAGACACAAGTACTCCTGCCCCACAAGTCTGTTTTGACAAATATCATGTCTGTCCAGGCAGAGCCAAATACCCCCAAGGCTGAGAATTTCTTTTCCAAATGCTGCATACATCACCCTGGAGGTTAAAATGCTACCAAGTATGGCTCTGCTGGGTTCCATTTTACCAGTGCCACCAACAATGACCCTGTACCCAAGCTTAGAACTACTGCTATTGGCCAAAGTCAGCAGAGAGGATATTGATACCGAAATCTGTATGAACTTAGTGTTGCTGTCTCAGAAAGGAGAAGACTATCCCTGGAACCTTCCAGCACTTCTTTGAGCCTAAGTGTTCTACTAATGGAAATTAAGAACTGAAGACATTCAGGAAGGGAAGGGCAGAAGAAAAGCAGCAACTCAGAGGAATATTTCAAGAGTAGAGTATAGTGGCATATGCCTATAATCACTGCATTGGGGAAGGAAAAGCAGGAACATCTGGAGTTCAAAGTCTTCTTCACTTACATGGCAAGTCCAAGACTCAATGGGCTACACCAAAGCCTGTCTCCAAATAACAACAATAAAACCCAAAAGAAATACTTCAAGAAATCTCAATCACATTGGCTTCTTGCATAATAGAACCTGTTATTAAAAGCAGGTAGTATCTTTGTCACTCAGGCCATGGGTTCCTTAGTCCTGACTCTGCTCTTGGTCCAGATCATAAATGGATGTCTCCATCTTTCATTCAGATTTACAGAAATGTCACCAACAACGTCTAGCGTAACTTTGTGGTATTATACAAGTAAAACATATTATCCTTTGCGTCTCCAGAAGGAAGAGATGCAAGATACTCTTAAAACTAGTTCAATTTTGAAGAGAAATCCTCAGTTTCCTTCATAGTTCCACAGCTCATAATCTTCAAGTTTCCCAGTAACTTCTGATGCCTACCTTGAACTACCCATCTCCATTCCCTCGTTCCTTAACATAGTCCACTTACAGCTCCTCTCACTGATGAGTGGTGGTAAAAAGAAAAAAGGTATGACAAAGGCATGAAAAAAATGCCAGAGAGTTGCAAACAAAGGCAATGAAACTACTAGTCAGCCTCTGTTTGAATCTTGACTTTACCACACTCTGAATTTGAGCAGGTTACTTAATTTCTCTGTGCCTCAAATTTCTTTATTTAAAATTAAAATAGGAACAATAAGAGCAAACCTAAACAATAGGGTTAAGAGGACTTAATGAATCAGGATTTACAAAGGTTTGGAGTATTGCCTAGAATATGTATTACATTTAATGTATATATCATATATAGGAATATATAACATATTGCCTAGAATATGTATCCATGTATAAAATAAATATATATGTGTATGTATGTATGTATGTATGTATGTATGTATGTATGTATGTATATATATACATACATACCTTGGGTTTTTTTGAGCAGTTCAATACAATAGGACCTCTTGTCGGGGTGCTCACTCCAGCTCTAATATAACAAAATTATCTCTAAACTGTCCATAATAGCCCATCAGCAGGTCACATACCTATTTAGATAGAGAAGCTTCTTCATCACACCCTTATGTAAGTAAGCATATTCTGTATGAGGAATTCCTCCTGACAAAAAAAGTGAGGGATATGCTAGTCTCACCTGAACATACTTCATACCTGGATGTCACGGTAGGACAGAAGTAAGTTAATGATGATGTCTGATGTCAGAACCTCAATGTTATCCATGCGGAATTTGATCCGAGTCAACTCTTTTGCCAGTTCATCACCCTGGTATTTCTCTCTGGCTTTACGGATGTCATTTAACAAGGTTTCTTTGTAATAAGCACTGGAGAAGGAACAAAAACTCTGATCATATACATGCACTCTTTTGAGTGCTCAAACATGGTTCTCAGTAACACAGAGGGACCTTGGTCATTCCTGAGGTTTCTTATACCACTAAACATAAGATAATGCCTATCCTTTTTATATACTTCAGCAATAAACTAGTAAGTGATAATTCAGTTTATTACAATCTTATAAGTATCTCTAAAGCTGAAGTTACAGTCTATACAATTTTCAATACAACCCCCTGATAATTACACACACACACACACACACACACACACACACACACACACACACACA